CTGACCCGGATTTTAATTAATTCTACGAGAAATATCATTGTTATATAAATTCTTTCTGATTATGATACCTTGATTATATACATTGAAATATTTCGAAATCTCTAGGAATAAATAAATATCATTTTCTAAAAGATATCCGATTAGATTTATACCTATCTAACTCAATTCAAATTGATAGACAAAAATATATAGCAATATTTTTGATTTCAATATAATTTCTCAAGTCAAATATCAAAAGATCTTATTCGATATCATATCAAAGATATGATAGACCCTAGATAATGGAAAAAAATAAATCAAAAGATAGATAGAACGATAGATTTCATAATCAAGAAGATAGATAGATTTATGGATAAATAATCCGATAGATATATCGATAGATATACAGATAAATATATAGATATATATAGATATATAACGAGACACAGATAGATTTATATATAGACTCATATAAATATTCGTCAACATTTCTTATTCATGAGTAGACCATGAATATTTTGGAGAAGATCTATCGGATTCCCGAGATTTCGTCATTTATTTCTACGAGATATCGCTTTACTCTTGTGAAAGAAAACAGACCAATAGACTTCCCAATCCTCTTCGTAGCTTGCCCTGTCCTTTACTACTCTTTACTACTCTTTACTTACTGATACTGCCCTTTACCTGTCCTGTACTGCCCTTGACCTGTCTTTTACTGCCCTGCTGCCTTTTATTACTCTTTACTGCCTTTTATTGCCCTTTACCTGCCCATTACTGTTCTTTACTGCCCTGAACTGCCCTTTACCGCCCTCTACTGCTCTTTATTGCCTTGTTCATCAGAATGAGAAGTGAGTTATGAACCAAACCAGTGGATATCGATTAAGATATCGGTTGCCTAGCCACATATCATACAGAAAGAATAAGGCATATATACATATATCGAGGCAGCACTGACATGTCATATCAGACGATCTTTATTGATCGTATCGTTTTTGGGAGGTCCTATCGCTTTCCAAGGAAATTGGCAAGATCCGGCATTCCACGCTCACCTTACTCTTAACTACAATTACGGAAGTTTTGACATATACTCATAAAATAAAGAAAGACAAAAAAAGATATTTGATTTCAGAAAATACGGCTCTGGAATCGTTGCCAGAAATCTATAGAAATTTATATTTATATGAATTTCGTCCTAAAATCACGCAAATTTAAAAGATTTCAATTTAACGAGATTTCCGAAAATTCGTAAAATCTCTAAGATTTTACTTCCGGGAGTTAGTGCTCGTGGAATTAAGCTTTTTGTGATTTTAATCATATGAGATAATCATATAAGAGGTTTTCAGATAGAAAAAATATTAGATGAAGAGGTTCTAGGAATCCAGGGATATATCTAATCAGAATCATGAGCACAAATCGTACGATCGTTTATCAAAGGAATGAAATTAAATTTTCAATATCGCGCAATTATTCCATATCGTAAAATCTCATATAATATAATATTCTAAACAGAAATGACTTATATTTAATCATGAAAAAAACGATCAAAAATCTATATATATAAACTAATATATATATATATTCGATTCAATTATTTAGATATATTAATATCGACAAATTAAAATCTCTAAGCTCATAATCATCATTATTATATCGATTCATTATCAAAATAAACCAATATCGAATCAAATATTAGATAAATCATATAATTTAATTATATATATCATTATATCAGACGAAAGAAATCATTTATAATTATTATAAGAATAATTCTTATTATTAATTCTCTTAATATGGGAATCTCGCTCAATCTAAAACTACCCAAGAGAAAAGATCCTTCGATCCTAACGATATAATAATTTTTTTCCGATCTTGAAAGCTAAAGCAATCATCCCTTATCCAGAAAAAAAATCTAGAAATTTTTAGTCGCGAGTATGCCTACAATTTTTTTAAATTTTTTTAGACCACGAATATATATTCCTCAAAATTATCAAAATATAACAAATTCTAATATCGATAAATTTCCTAAATATTCCAAGATCTCTCTAAAATTACAATAACGAAATATCAAAATATCCAATTTTTTAATGTCGCGAAACAAATATAAAGATATTTTTTTTAAGAACACGATATTATACCAAATTATAAGAGACCGAAGAACACACAATATCAATAATTATAAATATAAATAAAACGATACCGATCATTAATATTTCAGAATATATAAAAATCATTATTTCTAATTTTATCATATATATTTCATAAATCGATAATATCAATTTATTTTTCTTTTCTATACAAACATATCAAATCTAAAAATTATTCTCATTATACATTTGCCTAGAAAATATCTCAATATCATATATATATACACCTTATATTTAAACGCTAAGAACAAATATTTCTAATTTAATATTCTATTCTTTTCAATTATGATACAATTCTTTTAAAAAAATGAAAAACATTTTGGCAAATCTTATTATGTAAAAATATTAGATTCCTTCTCCTTGCAAGTCAAACCTCAATTTTATTTCTAGTATATCTATATATATATATATATGTATGTATATATATATATAAACATAATTGTTTATTTCAATCCTCAACCTCTCAACATATCGAAGCCAAAATGACATTCAAGCAATTCAAACAAACAAAACAAAAACCAAAATATATGTATCTTTTTCATTACTTATTTACATACAGTCCTGTTATCTTTCATATAAATAATATAAATAACAAAAACAGCCGAATTTCAGAGCCTCTTGTGGGAACAGGCGAAGGTCGTGTAGGCCTTCACTGAATTAAATGCCCATAGGAACATGGGCGAAATCAAAATCCTGCATCAGCTGCTGCCGACCATAGTATCTGCGTGCAGGTATGCTCGTCGCGAACACTATGTGGGTTCTTCTTGGCGGAAGAACTTCATGCATATGAACTACACAGATACTCCAAGAACATGGCACGACTACCAGCCTTTGGAATTTCCTGTTCCACTCCGGAACTCTCCATGGGTGGAACGGCCGGTGAGAAGTGTAGGCAAAGGCAACGTCGAGGAAACCAAAGCGCCGTGTGTAGCAGCAAACTCCGTGACCAACTTCTTGAAGGCACTTTCATAGTGCTGATGGGAAGCTTCCAAAGCATAGTAGATCGTCTCCCGCACAAAGGAGTTCATGGCTTCAAAACCTCCTAAAAGGGGCCATCACAACATCCACCCGATCTACTTACGATTTTTGAAGCCGTCATGGCCGCAACCACTCCTAACCCTAGACGCCAAACCCTGAACCCTGAACAGCCTGCCTGGCATCTGTTCTATGAGCCGATGGATCATCTGCCGATCTTCCTCTGATGTGGCCTTTGTGGGTGCAAGCACTATCGGCTTAAAAGGATCCTACTTGTATTCAGAGTTCTATGTTGCAGTCCCCGATTCTCCTTCAGTCCCCATACCTTAAAAGCCCTAAAGCCCCAAACCCTCAACCCCTAAACCCTGAATCCCTGGCCCTAAACCCAAACTCCAGCAAGGGGGCCTTGGCCGACCGCGTGTCCAAATCTTTGGCCCTCTCTGCCACGGCCACAGCGACATCTGCGCCGGCCTTTGCAAAATTCAAACGGTTTGGGGTTTCCTTTTTGTTTTTGGTTTAGGGTTTCGGGGTTTCGGGGTTTAGGGGTTTCGGGCTCAGTGGTTTAGGGTTCAGGGGGGTCTAGGGTGTGGAAGGGTTCATGTTTTGTTTTTCCCAAAGCCATTCATATGCTTTTGTTCACGTTGTAACAGGACCTAAACGCTACACCCCTTGTGCCTGAACCTCTCAACCTCTAAACCTAACCCCTAACTAACCCCTAAACCCTACAGATAAAGGTGTAGCGCATTCGTAGGGCTGTTCAAGGGCATCCCCTGAGGCTCAGCCACCGTTAAAAGCCCCCTAAGTAAGGGGTTTGGGGTTTAGAGTCTAGGTAAGAATAGGGTCTGGGGTATTTATCTCGTAACATAAAATTATGATAAGCCAGCCTCAGCAACACTAGTGTTAATCTTTCGGACTTTTATATCCAAAAATGTTTGGTCGTGAACCTTGCCTTGCCCTCTTGCAACACACCCGTGGAGGTGCAGAGCAGCAGGCCTTGAGAACGACCATCTCGTGATAAACAAATCGTGTGATAAACTTCAAAAAGGCACCAAATTCGCTGCAGTGGCTGGACACCTTCGTCAAGAACCATGGCAGTTCCTTTGCAGTCAGGGCTTGTAAGAGCAAGATAAAACGAAGATTGCTCCCAATGGCCATTGCCCAGCTCTTCCTTGACATGCCACTGACTGTTGCTGAATGTGCAAATCCAATATGCAGATTCCCGCCACTCTTCTTGATCTGACAGGGCATGTTTACGAACGGCGTCCATGAAATGATGCACTGGCATGCCCCAAAAGTGACTGACGAACCACCGGATTGTTTTAGGACCGACCAACTCCGCAAAGGATAGCTGGTAAGGCTTCGTGAGCGGCTTGACGATATTGGAGCAAACGTAGTACATGGATCGCTCCTTGACGAAGGTCTCGAAGAACCTTTTCATGCAACAGCAACGTGTCGCCAGTCTCTCTGACTCCCTCCCTCTCGTATCATCACAAGAAACCCATGCCGCATTTGGGCAATAAGTGCGCTTCGATCGGCAACGGTTTCCTGCCAACATGCAGAAAGCGCAGAGCTAACGTGCATTGATTCATACTCGGCAAAACCTCGGACAAGTCAATCGACTCTTCTCAGTCTGACTTGCTACCAGTGCTGCTAGTGAAGCGACCACACACCAAACAGTCATAAGCTTGCATCTGCCTAAGCCTCTCCATGCTCCCACGTGCCTGTATTTTGTAAATGTCAGTAATAGAGGGGCCTTAACACTTAGAATAAGGTTTGGGATATATTTTACTATAGTTATAGTAAGGAACCCGATGAATAGTATTGGTAATTATTTAGGCCCCTATATCACGCTGAACACTGAAGCCTATCAGCCGGGCAGCTGCAAGAAATCCTGAAGCTGCCCTGCGGTGATGGAACGGTCTGGCCCACGGCTGCAGCGCTGTAGCACCGGAGGCCACTGCTTGAAGAACTGACGGCAGCGCTTTTCCAGAGAGGTGCGGTCTTGCCTGGGAGATCCGGAGTTTCGCGAGCATGGATCATGAAGGGTCCCCTCTCTTCGGGTGATCGGGGGATATCGGGGGGTTTAGTCCAGGTATGCAGTTTCGGAGTTCCCCCAGCGCAATCCTCCTGGCCTCTGCCTCAATGCAAAGCCCACTGCGCCGGCACCAAGGCCCGAGCCACAGACCAGCAACAGCAAGGCAAAGCGTAGTTGGCTGGCGAGTCCCAGAACTGCTGCCACAAGCAGTAAGCACCAGACGAGGAGGGGACATCTCCAGAAGCCAGTCACCAGAAAACCGCGGAGGGGCTTCAGGCGAATGCGTCCTATCGAGGTGTCCAGTGGCAACAGTTCCGTGCTGTCATCGACGAGCATCAGTTGGAAGGAGTTCAGAGTCTTCAAACGAAAGCGACGCCCGTCCAAAGCAGGCACGTCGGTGCCACTGAACCTCACCTGGCTTGGGACTGCACTAGGGATAAAAGCCTGAAGCCCTGCGAGAGCTTGGGAAGCACCGACAACCACAATACGTCATAGTATCTTGTATGATATTATTTGCTATATTTAGGTATCTGATTGTATAATAGGTTCTTCCCCCAATCCCGCCTCTGGCAGCGTCCAGGGGAGAACCCAATGCATCATCGAGCTGGTCAGCACCAACTTTTGGCCTTGCGCCGATAGGTCCTCTACACGGATCGAACCGGCGAGCCCGGACAAGCATAGAAAGCTAAGGGCGGTAGTTGCGATCCAAGAGATGATGGCAAGAACTACATCCATACCACGAGCTTGGCACTGCTGCTGCGTTGCATCCGCAACTTCTCGCAGAAAGACTCCCTCACAGCGTGTGCACCCGGAACTTTCGGGAAGTGATACTTCATTTGCGGGGCAGCTTTGGCATGCGCTGCTTCCTGCTTTCGAGACCGTTCCACTAGGACATGGTTCACATGTGAGGGCATCTCTGGAAAAGAATCCGGCATCGCATGATCTGCATGCACCACTAGCTGAAGTTGAAACTTTGCCAGACGGACAGGCCACACATTTTGAACTTCCCTCGTTGGAGAAGAAGCCGCCAGCGCATGGGACGCAGCTGCTGCTGCCCGACTTCGGTGCCATCGAGCCAGCTGGGCACTGGGAACAATGGCTGCTGTTGGGAACGGAGATGAAGCCAGGGGAGCACTCCTGGCATTGGGCACTACCATCTTCGGAGAAGAAGCCGCCGGCACACGGGACGCAGCTGCTGCTGCCCGACTCTGGTGCCATAAAGCCAGCTGGGCACTTCGTGCAATAGCTACTGTTGGGAACGGAGATGAAGCCAGGGGAGCACTCCTGGCATTTGGCACTTCCGGTGTCCGCAAAGGAGCCGCCAGCACATGGGATGCAGGTGCTGCTGCCCGACTTTGGTGCCATCGAGCCAGCTGGGCATTGGGAGCAATAGCTGCTGTTGGGAACGGAGATGAAGCCAGGGGAGCACTCCTGGCATTGGGCACTACCCTCTTCGGAGAAGAAGCCGCCGGCACCCGGGACGCAGCTGCTGCTGCCCGACTCTGGTGCCATAAAACCAGCTGGGCACTTCGTGCAATAGCTGCTGTTGCGAACGGAGATGAAGCCAGGGGAGCACTCCTGGCAGAACTGCTGATGAAGCTCATATCTTCCCGCTGGGCATGCCTCACATGCTGAAGCCCCAGATGCTTCTGAGATGGTCCCTGCAGTGCATTTGGAGCAGCTCGCACTTCCAGAGAGCGAGTACTTTCCAGGAAGGCATTTCTTACACATGTCTCCTGCCACTGAGGCTGCACCAGCACTACATGGATCACACCTGCCATCCTTCTCTTCGGTGCCAGCTGGACAGATGCCGTCGATGCAGCTGCTGCGACCCGCTTCGTCACTGCCGAAGAAGTGCACTTCAAGACAGTGACAAGTTCCATTGCCCGTCGCCGTCAAGGCTGCCGTGGACTCTTGCGGAACCTGCTTCGCAAGAGCATCATCGAAGCAAAAGCCTCGACCATGACATGTCTTGCCATCCGCACCAGGACACGCAATGCAACTGTGCAGATGGCCCAGTTGCCCTGGCATGCTGTAGAAATCCTGCTGGCAGCCGGAACAGTCACTTAAGTTGTGGCCGGAAACACAGCTGCAGTCCTTCTGTCCGGACGTGCACAGGCCTTTTGCATGGCAGGGCACTTCGGGAACACAAAAGCCAGCACTCCAAAGCACAGCGAGGTTGCTCCCTTCGTGGGCTGCGATCAACTTGAGGTTGCCATCGGTCACATCTCCTACGTCGAAAGACACTACCTGGCCGACCGCACCAGCGCCCGTCAGAAAATTGCTGAGATTCGTCCCCAAGCACGGAAAGTCATCATCGCATCGCAATTTCCCTGTACTGTCGTGCTCACAGGCCTGCAGCCGAGGGTTCCAAGTTGGTCCGCCGTTTCCATAAGAATAATAGAAAGAGAGGCGAAGCATGTCCAAGTCGCCATCAGCATCACAATCCACGAAACTCCAAGAAGCCTTCATCATCTCCATACGTATATCATAGCTAGCTGTATCAAGCTCTTCCAACTCCACCAATGCGTTCCGCACTGGGCTGCGCTCCAGTGGCCACTCCTTTAGGGAACCATCGACTAGCTGCTCGAAAAAACGTCCATCAGGCAAGCCAAGTAGAAGATCCATGTCACCGTCACTGTCCCAGTCGAGGAAGACAGGCTGCACCAAATGATAGAAATCTCGTTGTTGATACCGACCTACATCCTGCCGGTATGACTTGACTGTGATATTGCTGAATGGATGCCATAACTCTTCTGCTTGCAGACGGCCTGAGAGCTGGCGGTGGTAGTGCAGCCTTCCATCAGCCTCACTGGCTATGAGAAGGTCTACCTCCCCATCCCCATCAAAGTCTCCAGCTGCTAGCCTGTAACCATTATAATAGTAACTGGGGAACGAGGTGGCTGTGACGTTCTCGAAAGCCGAAGTAACTGCATGGGCCCTGCCACGGCGGCTCTCATATAGCTCCGGCAAGCTTTGCTTCCGGTCCCAACCCACTAAGAGGTCCAAAGAGCCATCTTTGTTCCAGTCGACGAGGCTGAGCTTCTTTTCACGAGGGTTGCGGCCGAGATCAACATCCTCGAAGGTGTTCATGACGGAATTGTGCAAAAGATCAGCTTCCACGATGTGTTGATAGTAGACGTACATGTCACAGAGGAGTGTTCCCCCGTCATTGCCATTGCCTCGGAAAATTAATGTTACTACCATCAGATCTGGCAATCCATCCGAATTCCAGTCGGCCACAAAAAGTCTTTCCTCGAAACTGTCCCAACTGCCCCACGAAAAACCGGCGACAGGGTTTTCTGCAGGCTCCACAAAGCTGTTATCCCCGGCGCGTCGAAAGTAGCGGAGGCTTGAGTAGCGCTGGAACCTTTCATCACAACCTCTAAGCGACCATCACCATCTATGTCAGCTATTGCTTTGATATTCCCACCGAAAATGCTGATGGGACTTTGCTGCCCGGCCCGCTCGACTAATGCTGCTTGTGAGGTTCGCTCGAAATACCTTTGCTGAACAATAAGATCCACATCCCCGTCTTCGTCGAAGTCGACGGCCTGCCATCCCCAACATCTGGACCCGTTGACACCCACCAGCAGGGTCAGATCGTCCACCCCGGCGCCCATTAGCGGCAGCTCGGAATGTCTCAACAAGCTGATACGGGCTGAGCCATCCATCTCAGAGCACAGCAGCAAATCCAAGTTTCTATCACCATCCCAATCAACCACGGCAAGATCGATGATGCCAGAGAGTGTTGCTCCAAGTAACCTCTGCGATTTGAAGCTGTCATTCTGGAGACGCTCATACAGGGTCACTCCATGCGGCCAGCTCGTGTTCGGACCCCACATGGCCTTAGACGGTTTCGACTTGAGGGTTTAGGGATGTCATTCTGCACCAGGGACTCGACTGCTGCCCTCAGCACACATCTCTGAAACCAACAATTTGGGCCACCTCAGTAGTAACAGCACCTGGTTTCAGACCCGCTCTCGACGGAATCCCTGAAGGCCGTGCTCAGCACTGGCCATGAAGGAAAGAGCATCGACTTAACCTCGTTACCCGCTCAGTAGGAACGTCACTGAAATTGAGCAGCATGTTATGCTGAGAGTACATGACCTGAGCAAGTTCATCAATCTCACCACGCATCGCATCCAACACGGAATGAACTTCTGGTCAGGAAGGATTTGAGGATTCGGGTGGACATGGGTAGTTCTCTTAATTAGGGTTCATTTTGGGGTCCTTGTTATAAGAGTGCCGTACCATATTGGGGACCCAAAAAGGGACCGTAATTTAGATAATTCCACAAGCTTTCGGATCCGAGTCCCGATAGCCTCGACGTCGTGGAGGGAGTCGGACCACTTGTAGATGATTCTGCTTTCCCCCACCAACACGTCCAAGTCCCCATCGCCATCCCAGTCTGCCAGCTGCATGACCGGACGCATCTCTTTAAAGCATGGCAAGGCCGGGGCCGCTGGTCGCTTCTCAAATCGATGAAGCCTTCCAACACAGCTGCCAGCATCAGGTTGGCACCAGGGAGCAAAATCCCCGGCCACCAGCCGAAAATTGATGAGCCAGCCGAGGAGCCGCATGGCGAATGCTGTCAGAAATTGCTGGCTTAGTGTTCTGTCTTCTGTCCTCAATGCTGTGGGCATGATGCAGGCCGTGTGCTTCTACTTCGCTTAGCAGCAGATTAGCCGAAAAAAGTCAGAACAGACTCATCTTTTTGCAATGATCACTTCCACGCCTCGATCATCCCTTCTTCGGCTGTGGGTGCTCCTAGCTGAGAGGTCATGCAATAGCAGGAGGACCACCACATGGTTTCCAATGCATCATGCAAAACAAGCTTTGTCAAGCAGTGCTCTTTGTCAAATGGTATAATTCCAAATATTGGGCACTCATTGTTTTAATGGATAGAAGCCTACGATGCCCCTGTAGCAAAACGCGACTTTCGCTTTGCACATCGTACGATCATTGATGTCAATGCCGCACTAGCCAGAACTAAGCAACAAACTGGACATCTTGCAGTGGGCCACATCCAACAAAGCAGCGGATGCAACCAACTGCATGGAAAAAGCGCGAATGCGCCAGAGCTCAGTATCACCATGCTCAAGATCCCAACAATGACGAAATCCATGCCCCGAATCCCACAGTCCCACAACTTACATCAGTCCATGCCTTGCATCGCAGAGCTGAGCGGAATATGCATCGTGTCATGCCCCACGGACAAAAGAACTTGTTCTTCAAATACCATCCTGAGCCCAGGATGTTGCAGTCGCCTTGGGTACCCGCTGCACGCGATAGTCGAACCGAGACTATCTGCTTTTGTCGCTGCTTTGTTGCTGTTCTTATTCTTGTGGACTCCCGTCTTCCCAAACCCCAACCCCTGGGCAATGCACGATGTTTCCTCTATTGGTGCGTCTTGCCGGAGATCCACCAGAGGAGGAATGCAATCCAACTGTACAGCACCAGGAGGTGGATGCCTGGTAGCTGCGGCGAATGGAAATGAGCAACTTCGGGCTACTGCAGAAATCGTCTCAGTTGCTTAGGGCAGTACAGAAGGCGCGCCGCATCAAGGCTGACTTGAACAATGACCTAAACTGTCGAGATCACGGTGATTTACAGCATTGCAGGCACAAGGTGTGTCGCACCAGATCCTGTCCCAGAATCAAACCAAGAGCAGAAGATGCAACGAAGACACACAACGTGTTCTCATCCAGCGTCACTTGTTTCCTCCCACCACTAGGTTGATCTTCAATCCAAGTGGCAGTGCAAACCACGATATCGTCTCATCCAGAAAGCCGCAGCCCCTTGTCAGCAAGTCTGTTGCCAGCATGTTGCCATTGACAGCAGACGTGTGATGACTCTTAAAGCGACTGCGCTGCATTCTCGTGAATTGACCGTTAGTCTGCCCTGCAAACGCATGGTCTTGCGGACTGCCGAAGTGCCACTGAAATGCCGCTTCTATCCTGATGCCATAGCCAGCCTTGTAGTACAGACTGTAATATCGGCGCCCTCCACAAGAAGTAGCAGGCCGTTTCCACTACACGTCACACCTGTTTAGGGTTTACGGTTTCGTCAGGTACTTGACTTGGGGGTTTCCGAAAATTGCTACTATAGTACCCCAAACACAGTAGGATCCTTATTTTAAGGGACCCCAAAATAAGATACCCCCTTCTTTTCGGAATCTCCCACTTCGGGTCCTGGTCTCCTCCTGGACTGTTGCGGCCCGCGAAACATCAAGAAGAAACCTCAGAAAGACCTGTGGCAACACTAGAGCGACCCTTACTTATGCGACCCTTAGAGGGGCCGGCAAAAGGAACCCTAAAACCCTAAACCCCTCCACCCAAAACCCTAAAAGCCCTACACCCTAAGGCCCTCAACCCTAAACCCCTAAAGTCATAAACCCTAAACCCCTTTTGCCCTAAACCCTAAAACCCAAAAGCCCCTAAACCGCAAAAAAACCCAAGACCCAGCAAGGAGACCACACCTGGTGGCGAGCGCCTCTCCCACATCGAGATCCAGGCTCGGAGCAGACTCGCCTTGGACTCGGATTTAGGGTTCAGGGCAAGGCTTCGGGATTTTAGAGCATTTGGGGTTCCTTTGGAGGCCCTTTTTAGGGGGTTTGGGGCCAGAAGCCAGGTTGATTATGGGGGTTTGAGGCTTTAGGGTCTTTAGGGTTTCAGGGTTCGAGGTTTGGGGTTTCGACTCACACACTTGCACGCAGGCAGGCATGGCTTCATAGGTTCCGAACATAGGGTTTAAGGCTTTGGGGCGTTTGGCTTTCGATGTTGAGGCGGTGTGTGATGGGTTCCAGAACGACACTGTGCCGTGCCGTAAGCATCTACACATCTGGCTTTTCAAGAACTGATGGTGAAGCTCTAGACAACAGGGCCGGCGCCTTTGCGGCTCAGCTCACGGGCTTTGGAGGCTCATGGTAGAATGCCAGGATGTAAGCAACAAATCACCAGGAGCGGACCCTTAAACACACAACTCTGAATCCGTATGAGCGGGATTGCAGGGATCCCTTCAGACATGCTCCAGACCCTGAACCCCTAACACCCTCAACCCTCAAACCCTCAAACCTCTAAACCCTAGACCATCCTTAAACAGAATCCCCAAACCATCCCAAACCCTTAACTCCCTAAACCCTGATGAGATGTGGCGGGCTTTGCAGCAAGTCTAGGATTCACATCCGAAGCCTGCTATGCCGTTTCCGAGACTGTGACCGGGGTTTACGCTCTCAAGCTCGGACTCGCCAGATATCTCGGGCTTAGGTTTTACGAGCGCCATTCTGGGTTCGATGTGTCCGGCCTAAAGACGTGCGGTCACACAGTTTAGGATTTAGGGTTTATAGGGTTTATGGCAGCCCAACATACAGTTTGCGGCGACAAGCTTTCGCAACCGTGACCGAACGCAACCAAAACGATCGAACTCCCGAGCTGCTGACAGCACACACGAATTACGTAGAATAATGTATGTTAAATTATAATGTAACATATAGAACTTAAGTAGCTATTGAGCTACCAAAACTCGAGCCCATTGACGCTAGACTCGCTAGGGCGGCCTGTGCGGCAAGCAACGCTCACAGCCAGGAGCAGAGGCAATGTCCGTCGACAGAACCAGGACATACCAGGACCCTCCAAGTACCTTCGAATAGGGGTGAATGGTCCCAAATTAAGGGGTATTTAGGGTCGAATAGAGGGTAGATGGAGGGTCTAGGAAACCCTCCAAGTTTGAAGAGTCGAGGGGCGCAGCGTCCCACGCAGTCGCTGCTGATCAGCTGTGGCTCGTTCCACCTGCTGCCGAACAGGTGGAGGCCGGATCTTTAGTCAAATGTTGGCAAATCCTCATTATAGCAATGTCGTTGCTACCAGTGGTTGTTTTTCAATACTGCGATTGGCATTGGCACAGTCCTTCAACGAAGTTGGGCACCGATCACGATTCTGCCTTGGGGCCTTGGGGTACAATCGGTGCAGAATGTTTCTTACTTGTGCTTTGGCTCCCGCAGGGAAATGCCGAGGGACTTGTCAATGTTAGTCAGTCAGTGTTATTGCCGGATCTGGAATGCTGCAAGAATTCTCAGATGCTGATGCCATCTTGCGTGAAGCGCCTGAAGTTGGACGCCATTGAATATCGCCGTGCTCATATGTGCTCATTCGACGACTGTTCTAGAGTGTCTGCTGTAATAGTCTGTGTTGTGTGCCGTGCCTCCGCCTTCTTCTCGTCCACCTTCCGCCTGCCAGTGGAGTAGCGGAGGGCTTGCAATTTTCAAGCACGCTTTACACAAATACCAGCAATGCATGCGGCCTCCAATACTCCACTTCTTCCACGCCAAGTCCTTCCTCCACCTCTTCAGGTCCTGGCGGCTAGCTAGCCCAAGATGCAATCTGAAGCAAGAGCCACAGGTGGCAACGTGCATGGTGAGCACAATCTGCTACTTTCGCTTCCCATTTCAGCACGCTTTTTTGCATCTGGTTTGGAGCGACTCAGCACGCTAAACCCCAAAACCCAACCCCCCAAACGCCAAACCCTAAATTTCTGAGGCGAGGGCTCAAAGAACCCGAGGCTTGAGGCAGTTCTTCCGACGACTTGGCCTCTGAACACGAAATCCAAGGGTTTAGGATTTAGGGTTTAGGGCTACCGCTGAGTTGCATGGCAGCTGTGCTGATGCATCTTGCGCGGAAAAAAGTATCTTGTACAGCTATGTGATCAAAAAGAATGACGCTAAAGACGTGATTGCGATAGTAGTTTAATCATACTCGTCGTCGTCGTCGTAGTAGTAGTAGTAGTAGCAGTAGTAGTAGTAGTAGTAGTAGTAGTAGTACGTAGTACGTAGTACGTAGTACGTAGTACGTAGTACGTACTACGTAGTGCGTAGTACGTAGTACGCAGTATGCAGTACGTAGTACGTAGTACATAGTACGTATAGTACGTAGTACATAGTACGTATAGTACGTAGTAGGTAGTACGTAGTAGGTAGTACGTAGTAGACGTAGTAGACGTAGTAGACGTAGTAGACGTAGTAGTAGTAGTAGTAGTAGTAGTAGTAGTAGTATAGTATAGTAGTAGTAGTAGTAGTAATAGTAATACTAAGCACTACTATCACCATCGCTACCTAAGACTTCTAGTAGCCCAAAGTGGGCACTAGCTGTAGATTTTGTGCAGTAGGTGCTAGTTGTATACCCGGAGTCCTAGGGCATGATGTTAGCTGGGATATACAAGCGACTTCCCTAGACTCAACCCAAAATCCTAAAGCCCAAACCCTAAATCCTGAACTTCTCTGTGGGGAGAGACTAGAAGCTTGCCCTCTGCGAGCTCTTGATGCTTACGCAGCTCTTGTGCGGAGCTACCCTGGCAGAGCTGCATAGATGACATTCGCCAGCCATGCGCTAAGTCCCCTGGTTGCTGAGTTCATCCGCACCAAAGGTGCACATTCCGGTTCTGCAACGGGTCATACTAGCCCAAAAAGTCTAAAGTGTACCCTTTTTTCAGCACGGGCTTTGATTGTAAAGTGTACCCTAAACCCTAAACCCATTCATCTACTAAGGAGTCCTAACTCCTAAACCCTAAACAAGAGCTGCTTCGGAAGATCCAGGCCTCTTGCAGCTCCGCCCGAAGGCTCGTCGCCTGCTTTCTCTGCTTCGGCTTTCGGGCTGGGGGTCCAGGGAGCCGGGCTTAGGGTTTAGGGTGGGGTGTTGATTTTGGGGGGTACAATTGTATAAGCATTTTACACTTACACTTACACACACACACACAGAGACAGGTCTTAACATATTCTTTGTAGGTAGGGCTTAAGGCTTAAGGCTTGGGCTGATTCTGCTTGCAAGCTATAAGCCCAAGTTCCTCGGCCTTCTCGCGGGATGCTTTGGCTGCAGCTTCGGCCATGCTGATGCCTCAGGAAATTCGCCAGTGTGTCAGGTTGATGCCATACAGAGACTACCCATAGGCTCCTTAGTGGTTCCTTTTTGGGATTGCCTTATAGGATTCTAGATATGAACCACAAAAGGAACTACTTAGGAGCCTATGGGTACAACCTTCTTTGTCTTGATGCGTACAGGCCTGACTTCGCAAGTGCATGACAGCCTTTGCTTGTCTAGACGCTGTGAGCCATAGATTGGTTCTTGGCGATCAAGTCCACCTGATGACGGGAACACATCCTCCCTCCCTCCCTCCACCCTTTTTGCAACAGGCTTTCCACTTCGCCCGGAGTTGGAGCACGCAGCCCTACTCCCTGCACCCGAAACCCTAAACCCATGCCTGCTGGCCGGCATCTACTTGCTTGCACAAGTACTGAGACAAGCAGTGGAGCCAGATGCCTAGTTCTCTGGACTAGGGTTGCGTTTTAAGCCCAAAGATAGTACGGCAGCCTTGTAAAATGGACCCAAAAAGGGGCCCTGGTTTAGAGAACTGCCCATATGCAGGATGCATGTCTAGTGGTACCGCCCAAGAGGATCAGTGAACCTAACAGCCACAACAGCCAGGAAACCCTAATCCCGAAACTATACAAAGCTGCCAGAATGGCTTCATTGAAGCGACTGAGCCTTCAAAGAAGGAAGGGCCTGATAATTGGGGTTTAGGGTGTAGCGGCCTGGGGAACTAGAAAAGAGTTTTGGGGTACAGTATAAGGTTTAGGGTTTAGGGTTTATAGTAGGAAACCGCAAGGACCAATGTTGGCGACTCTTTCGGCCCCATATTAGGTGTGGGGGGGAGAGGGGCTGTGCATGTGCGTGCTACGGCTGCTAGCCCGAGTCAAGGGAAGCCTTCTTGCCCTTGCTGGAGCATGTGGGATCTATGGTTGGCGTGGATTTGGAGAGATGCGCTCCTGCCTGTTGTTGAAATCCATGTGGCCCTTTGTGAGATGTGCATACCCTAAACCTCTAAAGCCCTAAACCCTAAAGCCTAAGCCCTAAACCCTAAGCGCTATGTTATGCTAGCTTGCAACCTCGAAGCGGACATTGCTGGATCAAGAAGTGACTCGGTGCTCTGACGGTTAAAGTGGAAAGCCCAAAGCCTGCAACCCTTTTGCACAGACTTGCACATGCCCGCCTGGTAAGCCCTTAGCCTAAACCCTTTTACCAAAAAAACTCGTAAACCTCAAACCACAACGGGCGGGATAAAGGCAACAGCCACAGAACAGAAGGCCTCCTGCGCACGCCCCGATGCTGCCAGGCGTTCCATCTCCTTTCCGGGGTGAGAACATGCAATTTGGGCTTTCCGGCTACGGGCTTTCGGGTATGGGGTTTTGGACTTTAGGGGACATTTAGTGTTTTTGAGTTCTATTAGGCGTGGCTTCCAGGGGAGAAAGCGCAACTTAGGATTTAGAGTTTATAGGGATTTGGACTTTATTAGGGTTGTAAGTCCTATTAAAAGTGGCCGCTAACTGAAACCGTGCCTCAAACACAAACGGCCCAATTAGTGAACGGAACTCAACAGCTTCCCGTCTCAAGCATGATGAGGGCAATCATCCCAGAGTTCATAAAGCGCAGAGCAAAAATTCCGGAGGCAACCCGCCTTGATCTGGATTCGGAGCTCTTTGGCTTGCGCCCGGAGCGCCTGCCGCCGTCCGTTGCCCCAAGGAGTCTGTGCGGCTTCGACTCACGCACTGGCAAAGCAGGCATGGCGGTAACGGTCTGAGTCTGTGCGGTTTGGGGTTTAGGGTCTAGCTTAAGCTACCATAACCTGCTTTTGTGTAGGTTTCTTATTATATAAACCCATAATATGAAATTTATAGGGACCCTACAAAAAAACAGGTTTTGGTAGGTTAAGGTAGGGTTAACTACCCTCGTGTGCATCCGGTCCCGGAAAATAGGCCGGTGACAGGGAACTCGTGCTCGTAAACTCTTTTGGAACCCAGACTCTGCCGATCAGCTGGGAAGCAGCCCACCCTAAACCGCCCTCAGCTCTAAACCCTAAACCGTAAAACCTCAACCCCCTCTGCCCTAAACCCTAAACCCAAACTCTAAACAGCCTTAAACCCTTTAGAGCAACAGGGCCTCATTATGACCGAAAGCACCGAAAACTGATCGAAAAGCGCTCCGCAAGGCCGGGTGCGCCTCAATCTCCATCTCTACCTGCGGCCCCGCCTGAGAGGTACAGTTTACTCTAAGGGTATACGAATAAAGAAAGAAGAAGGTGATGATAGGTTTAGGGTTTAGGGTTTGGTGATGATGATGTTGATGATGATGATGATAACAGTTATACTATATGATAGGTAACATGTATCACTATTTTCGACTCTCACTCTCGCGCAAGGCAGGCAAGGCTCCACACAAGTCCGTCACGCTGGAGAAGCCCCGCGATCAATCAGACATGAACACCAGAACCGATCTAAAACCATGCACCACCCAAAAGGTTGTCCGATCCCGTGGCTTCTCAGAGACATTGCTCTATCCTACCGGCCGTTGGTCAGTCTCCTCATAGTATGTTTACAGCTGCATGATCTCACCAGAAACGGACAAGTAGATACCGTAGAGTTCGGAAAGAGAGGATGCAGCGACATCGCGCTATTTTAGGGTCTGGGGCTTTTCGACACTCACACTCGAAGACGGCCCTGCCTCGGACTCTCGTGGCACTTCCAGGTCACCTCAAGGAAACCCGACGCCGGGAGGTGCAAGCTTGCGGCACAAGCAAGGCTTTTTTTAGCCCTCGTTTTTAGCAGGGACTGCAATGCAAACTGCATGCTGCCTCTTTGCCTGGGTCCGGGTCGGACAGCACCCACAGAAACCGTCTCCAAGAAAACCCTAGGAGTTCCGTCTCAATAGAAACTCACTTTTGAACCCTGTAAGTAAACCCTTAACCCCAGATCATCCCAAGCCTGTTCGACATAGTTGAATAGTTCCTCCTCGCAAGCATCGTTTCGAGATCGTTTGAGCATCTCGCCGGCTTGCTTCCGCCGCAGGATCAGCCCGCAGTTCTTCCAGTAACGCACCTGCCGGCCCAGACCCTGCATTACCCAGCATACCGTTTAGGGTTCAAAGGCGTTCAGGGTCAGGCTTGACAGTTTAGTGGCGACACTGCCTCCTCATCCAGCCGCTGGGTGCGTGCTGCCTCCTTGCGCTGCAGCGCCTCTGCCTGACAGGCGGCTGTCAGCCACTCGTCACGTGGGACTTTCCGAAAATTAGGGTACCTTATTTTGGGGTCCTTCTAATAAGGATCCTGCTATTTAGGGTACTGTATTAAGGTTATTAAGGTCCCCTAGTTCGGAAACCCCCACATCAGCATCTAGCTCATGTAGCCTGACCCAGCCTCCTTTTCTCGGCGCAGGAGTGCTTCCAGCCTGGGCCCCGGGAGAGCATCGGCCACATCAAACAAGCGTCGCACCTGCCCATGCCCACTGCGGGATGGGACGCCCCGACTCCATCCGAAGCTGCGCTCACACAAGCTCCCGCAGACTTCAATCCAGGCATGTTCGAGCCGCCCTAAACTGCCCTAAACCCTAAAGAACGCTGATCAGACAACCCGAAGACCTCTGGGGGTCTGACTGCAGCTGGAGCTCGCCTTGCAATCTGCGCGCGGCCTTCGCATGGCTAAAACGCTCATAATTTAGGGTTTCGGGTTTAGGGTTCGGGGGGTCATAATTAAACAGGGAAGCTCCCAAAACTAATGTAGGGGCCTGAAGAATTAGAATAGGGTTTTGAGGTAATTATCTTGTACAATAATCATAATAAGGGACCCCCAGGCTAGTATAGGGTATTATCTCTATATTTGACCGTCACGCCCAAAGCCCATGGAAACCGAGCTACGCTTCTCCACCAGCACAACACTGTGAGCCGAGTTTTTCGAGTTGAGTCTCGCAACAAAGCAGATGCCCGTAAGTAAGCTTAACTTAACCGTGTCTAAAGAGCTCAAAGCCTGGACTTCTTCAGCTTGAAGATGCTCCACGCGCGCTTGCCGCTGAGCCTGCCAAGGCACAGAAATCTAGGGAGGGCCTAGGGCCTATGATTCAGGGTGTAGCCAGGATTCCACGTGGGCAAGATGTCTTTTTTTTGCCTCCCGCCTGGCTAGGACGAACCTACGATGCAAGATGCCTTTAGGGTTTAGGGGTTAAGGGTTTAGAGTCTCCTTTGTTTCTTAGTGGCTTGAAAACAGCGCAGTTGAGGCGATTAATTTACTGCTCGCAGGGGCGGAAGCAATCGCACCACGAATCTTGAAATCTTCTAAACAGTCCATGCACCTATGTCGTCACCCTACCCAGAGAAAATGCTCCTGAGGATTCGTTCATGCTCTTAGCATTTGGGCCATGTGGGCTGTATCAGTAGAATAGGACTACACTTGTAGTTGTAGGAAGAAGCAGGCATTAAGTAATTGTTGGCAGACGAGCCCGCCGCCTCGGCGCCTTCCGCCAACTCTTGCAGCTGCCGCTGCGCTGCTTCGAGGCGAAGTTGGAGCTGCGCACCTGTGTCTACCTCTCTTTTTTGAATAAGGTTCAGGGTTTAGGGCTTCTTGTCCTAAACCCTATAAAACCCCGAGAAGCCCTAAACATTCATGCTACTGTATGCTACATGTATGAGCTTCGGGCCGCTAGGGCTTATACCTATAAGACTAACTGTAGTGCCCTTAGAACCATAATCTTAATCCTTAGTTTGAGCATTATAGTAAAAATAGAGAGTAATTCCTAAGAAGCATAAGTTAAGGAGTTGGTAGAGAGGGTGGCGGGCTGCTGGTTTTTGGGGGCCGCAGCTTTGCACCGAGAGTGTCAAAGGAGCGGGATGGGAGAATCCGTTTAGGAGGAAGTGCGGCTTTGGGTTTAGGGCTCTCTGTGAAGCTGCCATATCTGATCGTGCTGCCTCTTTAGGGGTTTTAGGGGTTTCGGCTTTTGGTGAAATGTACAGGCATACTTGTCAGTACTTCGAAGTCGGCCGCAACGCAGCCATGTTCGGAAGCAAGGCCTTGCCGCATCTGGGACAGCTCGGCTTGCTCCAGGCTTCGGATTTGAGCCTCTCAGACACAAAGCGATGCCCTAAACCGTGAACTATAACCGGCTATAAAAATCTACTAACCCCATCAGCCCTCACAGCGGCGGCTGGCTTCGATGTAGACTTCACAGCAGACTACATCATACCGTCATCAGCCGCAACCAGCCTGAAGCGCAGCCGCCATTTCGGCTTCGGCCTCACCATGTGCAACACGAAAATCAAGCAAGCCAAAGCTGCATGCCACACGGTTTTATGTAGGGGCCTAAACAATTATGGGGTTCCTTATTATTATAAGTATAGTCTAATATACCCCCCCAACACCCTTTTCTAGTTATTCAGGCCCCCTAGTAGTACTTGATAAATGTAGTCTCATACCAACCCCAAAAGCCAATTCGAATTAATATGGCGCCCCAATAGTACTTGATAAATATAATATACCATACCCCCCCTCCCCCACACCCTATTCCAATTGTTAAGGCCCCCTATATCAGGCTTTTTTTTACTAGGTTCCCCAGTAAACCCTTAATAATAAGGGCACCCTTTTTCTTAATATTCGGTTTTAATAAGGGGACCCCAAACTAAAAAGGGCAAAAGGGTACCACTGGGGCACCTAGTTTAAGCACCTTTGTAACTGCTCAGGAGTTCTCTGCTTCGGATCTCGCTTTGCGCGGTTTGGGGTTTAGGGCTAAGTGGTTTAGGGGTTTAGGGCTCAGGGTCTACGGGTTTAGGGGTTCATGTAGGGGTTTAGGGCTTAGGGTCTACGAGTTTAGGTTTAGTGTCTAGGGGTTTAGGGGGTTAGGGAGTTAGGGCTTAGGGAGATGTGTCAACTTATGCGCCATGGACTAGAGTTGGGACCTCTTCCTCCTTCATCACGCTACGCTGGCCATGGCATCAGCGCACAGGAGACGTTCAAGCACGGCCATGTGTGCACACGTTGCAGAAAAAAGGAGAAAAGGGGCTCATGTTGCGAACTGTCACGCTGCTGGGGGCTTGCCTGCCTGACGTGGTCCAGGCAGGGCAGGGAAACACACCATCATTACGGAGGTACCTGCATCATCTTGGACGTGGAGCCGGAGGCAAGCACTGCTGCAATTCAGCGAAAATATTACGATCATTCGGCAGTAGCGAATCCCCTGTGTCGTATGCGTCCGAGAATATAATATCCCCTATTCCCAAAATAAATATAGTCATAATTATGGTATAAGAAAAAATCCTAATCTACAGTTCGAATCTAAAATAATAAATATACATATGTATATATATATATAGAGGCATAAATAAAATTTGCCACCAAAGAAGAATAGATAATCAAGGAGAGAAAAAATAAATATATAATATACACTTTTCAATTAATATATTTCGAACATTGCAATTATATCAAAATCTATTAACTAATGATTCAATTTGATTCAAACATATATCTTCTATTTATTCGTAATAAGAAATTTGAGAAAACAATAATAGTCTATTTCTACATTTAATCTATCGAATCTCTTAATTTCGAATCTTTACGATTTCGTTGGACATCAAATACCTCAATTCCACTTATCGATAAACAGATTAATCAATAAAACTTAATTTTTACAGTAGGCAAAGCAAACGAGTTTTTGTCCAACCAACCAGGATAAATAGCGTGCTGCTACTTATCTGTTGAGGCAAATCCCGAAATTATGTCATTTTCCGTAGATTGGCGTATAGCTGATCTATGCTGCAACCTGGAAAACACTCAGCTTTTTGCGAAGATGCGCAACTCCAACTAACAATCTTCACAATAATCTCCGCATAGTTGTCTTGATGTCGGAGCTTGCAGTCTATGCTAGTCTGGCATATGTGCAACCTAGATCGGCGCAGGACCCGAAAACAGCATAAGACACTTCCTCACGCAAAACCACATGTCTACGCTGCAGGAAGACTTGCAAAGAAGCTCGTGGGGATGCCTTCACCTTTGGCCAGGCTCCTCCTTCAGCGCGGCTTGGCGCGTCCACTCGTGGCCAGCAGTGCCTACGATGTCTTCCCACAGTCCAAAGCCCTGAACATTACCGTAAGAGGCACTCAAAATCTGTCCCAACACCAAAGTCACCGTAGACCTGGACCAGATCAGCTCCCCCTTGTGGGTCTAAGGCCCTTGAACCTCTAGGCGCACAGAAAACACAATGTAAAAGCGAAGACCCGAAGCTGCATATCGCTTTCTTCTCAGTTCCAATCCAGAATACAGCGTCTCGACCTGCCACCTGTAGTTCTCGGTGCTACTTTGAAAGCTGATCTCCGGTTGGCTGGAAGGCTCTGGGTTGTTGCATTAAGGTTAAGATTTACGAAGCCTGGACTCCGAAAGCCAATAAGCTTTAACTCGGACCTGAGCTTAACATGCTTCCCGAAGCTGATTGGCTGTGCCTCGTCGGCTGTTTGCAGGCGTCTACCCTTGGAGTGGCTCTTGGACTTGCGGCGTTGGACCCATCCTGACTAAGGCAGAAATTATCTTCTCAATCTCACTAGCCCGTCGGCAAAGCTAGCACTAGTGGTAGTTGTAGTAGCAGTGGGATTATTCTTCTCTTTCCATTGGTAGTCATGCTAGTAGTAGTATCAGTAGGAGTAGGAGTAGGAGTAGGAGTAGGAGGAGGAGGAGTAGTAGTAGTAGTAGTAGTAGTCGTCGTAGTAGTAGTCGTAGTGGTAGTAGCAGCAGCAGCAGCAGCAGGAGGAGTAGTAGTAGTAGTTGTTGTTGTTGTAGAAGAAGTAGTAGTAATGGTAGTAGTAGTGGTGGTAGCAGTAGTAGCAGTAGTAGTAGTAGTAGTAGTAGCAGCAGTAGCGTAGCAGTAGCAGCAGCAGTAGTAGTGGTAGTGGTAGCAGTAGCAGTAGTAGAAGTAGTAATTGTCTTCGTCATGTAGTGTCAGTAGGAGAATTGGGAGGATGACATTCTCCTGCCTGGTCTGTGTTTTGATTTCGTTATCACTATAAGAGGAGGTGTCGTTTTTGCAGACTCCGCCTCGAAGCCAAACACGAAGATCCAACAAGCAGAAACTCCTTTCAGACCCTGCAAAGCAGGCCTACTAGACCTGCTTATGGCCTTGGAGGCGGCAGCGTTATCTTTGCAACATGCCCAAGTTCCAAATGGGGAAGGGTTCCTCAAGCTCCAAAGTGCCAGAAACCCCAAGCGCCTGAAGAGCTCCGGGGGCGACTCCAAGTAGCCGGAAACACGCTCATGATCGAGAATCACTTCGGTTTCTGTCCGATCGTGCGTCCAAACTTTCTGTCGTTGAAATGGCCACAATATCTTGGTCTGTAAGGTCTCCTGAACCGGGTACCGCAAGGGGTGCAGGCATAAAAAAACAATTAGCCGTGCTTCTGACGTCGTATTCCAACTCCTTGTCCGCAGAGAGCCTCGGCGATTCGCACAAAGAGCGGCATGAAATCCGTGAAAGCCCCGAAAGTGCCGTACTTGCGCTTGCTCGGACCTCTCAGGGTAAGCCTGGTGCATCTCGCACAAGTTGCGCTTGCTGTAATTGCGCCGAAACTAGACACCAGCAGGATTTGACTTAGCACGATGAACCACATCTCTGGAAGGCCAGCTCTGCAACCACAGCCTGCGCTGCTCAGTCACACGCTCTAAGGTGGATGGAAATGCCGACGGCAAGATCTTCTCCAATAAGATCTGTGTCAACAAGTACGTGTGAGCATCTTTTACCAAGCGGCCCGAATGCTTCCAGCTCAGGAACATGCCCCTTCTTTGCCTCACAGCTTCCGGGCTTCACTCCAGAGCTTAATCAAAGTAGCTGCCCTGGTCGGGCTATGGCAACCCAGACGTCATCCCAAGAAGCAAACAAACCGAACCAATGCCGTCGTAGTATAAGGGGGCTCAGGACAACAAGGCTGGAATAGCAACAGGCACACAGTACATATTGATACCGTGAAAGGAATGTACAGGGAAGGCTAGATGCTTCCCTTCGGCCAAGCGTCCGCATTCCTTCCATGCCTTCCCTGAATACAAGGAAAGTGCCACAAAATCAACAAAACCCCCACGCAGAGTGATGGGGACGTATCCTGAAATGAGCCATCTGGCTCTCATCTAGCCAAAATTTTGCAGAGTGATAATGACCCGAAACCCTAAACCAATGTCATGATGCACCTTCCAAGCAGTTTATTGGCCAGACTAAACCGCTTTCAACATTGACACCATTGCTCCAGATCCACAAATCCCGCAGACCTCAAAATGTTGCATAATTACAAGCTCATCGAAACATGCTGTCATTGCAAAACCGATCAAAGCAGCATTCACAAACAGAACTGCCTAAACCCTTTCGCACACCATACCACGGTGCTTTCACGCATCCTTCGGGCACGCGAGGGTTTTGCACAGCAGGTTCGGTTGTACATTCAGATCTGCGTACATTGTAGCTAGTTTTTCATAGACGAGCTTTTTAAGCCAAGCCCCGCATGAACAACTTCAAGTTGGAAGTTGGGACAGGGGACAGGAAGTTGGGGAGCTCCCCCTCCAGCGCTTCGGTGCTCCAAGCCCTGGTAGACGATGATGGTGCTTCGCGTAACCTCTTGGATCGGCTCGTGCTGAAGGGTTTAGGGTTTAGGGGTTTTAGGGTTTAGGGTTTTAGGGTTTTAGGGTTTGGGGTTTAGGGTTTTAGGGTTTAGGGCGTTAGTCGGTTTACCGGGGTTTGAGGCTTGGAGAGTTCGGGCGGTTGTGCTGTCGAATTTCAATGTTTGGATAGGGCAAGCCTAGTGGAGAATATCATGACTCGAAGCCTGATATCCACGTTATTTTTTTGGGCTGCGGGGCTGTAGTTGTAATGTGTCTTGGGGTGGAGTACACTATAGTATAAGGGGACCATGCAGGAAACATACTGCTGTGTTTAAATGCCCCTGTATGGGGTTTGCAGTCTAGTCTCAGATATAGGGATGTGAATTCATGTGTGCAGCGGGACATCTCGGGACCTTCTTTTCGATTTTGTCTCAGTCGTCCGAAGCTGCTGCCTTCGTCCTCCGGCTGCTGAGCTCTATGCTCAAAGCCCTGAAGTCTTCAAGATCTCACGCCTCCAAAGTCAAGCTCCGAGACTATTCCTGGCATCTCGTAAAATCTTAACCAAAACAAGGGAAGCTGACAAGCAAACAGCCTTGGAGTCGTCGGCAGTGATGATTTCAATGTCGTTGATGTTGGCGAGTCGCCGAGGAGGTCTCGGGGAATAGGAAGGGGCTCGGAGTGCTTTAGGCTTTGGGGCTTAAGCAGAAGATGAGGTTGGGTTTGGGGTTTAGGGTTTAGGGTTTAGGCCTTGGGGCTTAGGCACAAGATGAGGTAGGGGGTTTGGGGATGAGAGTTTAGGCTTTGGGGCTTAGGCAAAAGATGAGGTAGGGTTTGGGGATGAGGGTTTAGGTTGATGTTCACGTAAATTGGAAAGCCACTGCTACCGAGTTCATCTAGTGCAGTACAGCACCACTCTCGACAAAGTCACGGTGGACTTACAACTCCGATCACGACCACGTTGGATCAGTTTCATCTTCTGCAATCTTCTGCTTGCCTGTACAGACGTGCTTCTTAAACCGAACCAAACTGGGCGGCTATATGCCTTTGTCCATGCACATACCTGTACATGTGTACACAAAACATATTATGACACAACGAAAGCAGAAGAACTTCCCGGCCCCATCCTATGTGCTTTGGGTTCAGACTCTCACGATGCGCACGACGCAAACAAGGATATGATGTGACGCCACTACGCGTGAATGTTCAGGGAGCAAGGACCCGAACCAAGCAACCAACCAGTTGACCCAATAAAAAAAAGGCCTTACGGGTTCAGGGTTTAGATCTTGGCCCAGACGCTTGAAACTTTGATGCTGCTCCGGCTGCGCAGCTGCAGGCGTGCCGTATG